AAGCTCTTAGACCATCTCCAATGTAGAGCTCTATATCTTACTCTAAAATAGAGTAACTCTATTTTAGAGGAAGGTCTCTCTCTAATGTATATCTCTATTTTCTACTCTAAAAAATAATACTCTTAAAAATATTCTATTTCTATTTTATATACTAATACATTTTAATTATATAATTTACAATTTGACCCCATATATTATAGATTTGCAAAATTCCATAAAATATGAAAATATTTAAATTAAACACCAATTATTTATTAAAAAAAACATTACATCATATAACAATAATAAAACATTACAAATTTTATTTTAAATAACACCATTAGAATATTTTTCCCACATATGATCAATTAAATCATTTCGTAGTGACAAATGAGCTTCTTTATCTTTGGTTTTTTTAAATCTACTAAGAAACTCTTGAAACCGGATATTATCATTTCCTGTTATCTCGACTTCGGGAGGTGGAGCTTCTCTTTCAACTTGAATTGGTGCATTGAGATCAAAAAAAAAATTATGCTTTGAATGAGATAAAGGAAGAAAACAAAATTTTATTTTTTGATTTGAATTCTTTTCAAAACCCAAATGTTCGGGCATATTTTGAGAGTGAACAAGCACGGATTTGACAAAAACGACGTGTCCAACAACAAGATCAAGATCAAGAAACTCCTCCTCCATCTACTTCATTTGGACAATATTTTAACTATCTTGGCAGATCTACAAGCAATTTACCGGACTATTAAATTACTAGTTTTATATTTTAGTTTTCTTATGTTGTTTATTTTAAATTTAGTACTTGTTTGCTTGTTAAGTTTATAAAATTATTTTAAATTTAGTACTTGTTTGCTTGTTAAGTTTATAAAACTATGTGTTGTAATTGTTGTTTATAAAATGATTATATGTATTAAATAAAAAAGTTTAAATTTGAGGGACTAAAGTTCAAATAAAAAAAGTTGAACTCAAAAATAGAGTTGAGAATAGAGTTGCTCTATGTATAGAGTCAATCTGCAGAAATCTCTATTTTAAAGTCAATTATAGAGTAGGGTTGGAGACATTTTTACTCTAAAATAGAGTAGGGTTGGAGATGCCCTTAGAAATTTAGGATTTCGTGTTGTGAAGTGGGTTTTGAATACTATAATATATAGAGACCATCTTGGAATTTTGATTAAAAAACGATAATAGAGAATTGCTTTCAGAATAAGAATGTTTGAGAATAGAATTATGAAAATTAGAAATCAGAGACATCGAACCCATAGGAAAAGTGAGGAGCTTGAAACAGAAAAGATATTCGTGGTAATATGTGGGAGACAGAGGAAGAGACGCTTTTTGATATATATTTTGTAAGCCATAGGAAAAGTGTTTGGGTGACTAATTTAATTGATGGAAACAACGTTTCACCGTTTATTAATAGAGAATATGTAAAGTTTTCAATTAATTTGAAAATGTGAAGTTTTTAATTAACTTGTTGATGATGTGGCAACTTAACAAAGCTTTGCAAAATGCTGACGTTGATGACTTGAAAAGCCACAATGAGCTTCTTTTATTAGTAAGAGATGATTGATGAAGTTTTTGTATACTATGTGAAAAAACTATTATTTGTCGACATGGTTATGAATATTTTCTACTTATTTTGTCACTCTAGAGAAATTTATCATAAGGTAATGGGTTAAATATATTTTTTTTCCATTTAAGGTTTATGGGATTTTAGATATATATCTTTTGTTTTTCGTCTTTGAGAACAGATATATGAGTTTGTGACCTAACTTCTTAAATTTCATGATTAGTTTTATGAATGTAATATCCATTTATAGTACATAGTATGCACATGTACCTAAGTTTTCAATTGTAGGTTACTTTACATATTAGTTTTTGCAAATAAAATTATTTGTTCTTAGTATGCACACACTTTTGTTACGATTATTTGAAATAGCATAAGTCGACACTATCTTCAAAAAGTAAATAGAAAAAAATTATATAGTTAGAGAAAAGAGTTGTTTATATCTTATAAATGTAATTAACATCTAGTAAAGATAAAGAAATATATTTTCTTTTACTAATATGTGTGATTTTTTTGGTCCAAACAATTATAGATCGATCAATTGCAATTTAGCCTTCCCAAGAAGCCTGCATTTCATTTCGATATCAAACTTTGCGAGGGAGTTTCAGTCAGCGATTACCACATGCATTTTAGAACGTTCATTAGTTCATCTCCAACCAACACCAGTTTCTCAATTACATATATGAATGAAATCCTTCAACAACTTGGTCGACCACGACTTGACTACCGTCTAGCTGCTGCACGTCTGTGCATCTGGAACTGAAATGTGTTGGTGTTTGGCCCACGGTTAGACATGGAGATAATACATGGATGTGTATGCTTCTTGGTGATGATATCGTGGTTTGTATTGTGGGACAAAACAAAGACCAGTTTATTCTCCCAACGAAAATGATAAGGTAATCTTGGGATCAAATGGAGAGAAAAACAAAGTCGAATTGTTAGAATGACCATGATACTGAAGTTTTGGTATTATAGTGTCTATGTTTCAGAACTATTATCAGAAGCATCGAGTTTTGTCATGCGGTGTGCAATATGGAGTTTTAGCCATGAGATCCAATTCTACAAGAAAATACACAAATTGTGACGCAACTTTGCGAGGTAAAATATCCCTCACAAATTTGCGAGGGCATTACAAGTAATTTGCTACGACGTGGACGGGCCTTGCAATTTTGTCGCAAAAATTGCGACGGCTAATTCTCTCGCAACTTTGCGAGGGAGATACGAGTACTTTCTAGCAAAGACCTAAGCCGTCGCAAATCACCCGCAATTAGCGAAAAATTAGCGAGAAAAGAATATCTCGCATATTTCATCGCAAAACACAAACCACTTTTTTAAAAACACCATCAAAATTCCGTACATATAAATAAAAAGTTGTTTTAGCTAAAATTTACTAAAATATGTCGAGAGAGCACGAAATATATATGTCTCAAATCATAGAAGTTGAATATTCATGCTTCTTGAACTTGAAAAGCAAACTTTTCAACTATGATCGGTACGATCCATCAATCGGTTTAGGGGTAGGAACAAATAACTTAGGCGTTGTCGATGTCAATGCAAATAACTAATGAAGATAATGATATTTTTAAAGATTTAAAAAATGAATCTGAATAATTTTTAGGTGTGATTATTTGTTTTGTTTCAAATTAAATTTTTTTCTTTTATCGAGAGAGTTGCGAGGAACTACTAGCAATTCCCTTGCAAAATAGAAGTTTTTTTTACTTTGCAATGGCTTTGCGAGGGAGATACCACGGATCCGTAGCACTTCTCTCACAAATCTTTACCCTAAACCCTAAAGTACGTAAGAGTGTTTTGCAAACTTTGATTTTCAGATATAAAGTGAATCCAAGAGACCATATAATCCGGCAAGTTGAATATGTGGTGATGCATGAAAAAAGAATGGGATAGGTTTCAATACCAACATTTTCAATAGAAAATGTTATAGACATTGATCCATATAATAGAGAAACATAAGACATCATTGATGTATTTGAGGAAGATGCACATTCTGACGAATTCGAAGAATCTGATGATGGAGTAGATTCTAATAAAGATAATGAACTTCGTAATGATTCAAAAAAATGAATCCGAATGATTTTTAGTAGTGTTTTGTTGTTTTTTTTCAAATTGATTCTCTTTTAGCGAGGGATTTGCGAGGAGCCACTAGTAATTCCCTCGCACAACTATACCCTAAACCAATGACTTTCCGAAGGATTTGGAAGACATTTGTAGCACTTAACTCGTAAAACTATACCCTAAACCTGAAATTATTTAAAATTTTTTTTTTTTTTTTTTGCGAGAGACTTACTAAAAATCAGAATAAATTATTGTAGTGTTTAATTTTGTGTTTGGTAATCTCCTAATGAAGAATTTGTGAGGGAGTTACTAGGAAACCTCGCAATACCCTCGCAATATATGCCTCGTTTTAATTGGTTGTCAGGCGGTTCCTAGCAAAATCTTAGCAACGTTGCGAGGAAAGTGCGATGTGCCAAATATCTATATATATATATATAACTAGTTTGAGCTTCGCTCTTCTAAAAACAAAAGAAAACTTGAGGGTCTTAAAATGTAAATACTAAAACTATTGGGCCATTTCCTAGGCCAGAAGCTTTGAAGAGCATCTCCAATGGTGTGAAAATGGAGCTCTCTTCATAGTTTCTCTCATTAAAAATTAAAAAATAAATTATTTTTGAGAGAGCTGTCTCTCTTGAGAGAGACTTTGCCAGACAAGAGAGACGATGACGTGTCACGTTTTTATTGGCTGGTGTTTTTTTTTTTTTTTTTTTTTGGCTAGGTGGTTTCGTTTGACAAAACAAAAGAAAAAAAACGCGTATTCTACAGGTATGCCTCCAAATCTTGAGAATATGATGGGCATGCGAAATCAACTTCGTGATCAAAATATGCATCAACAATTGAAAAGTGATTTGGTTGAGCATATATGGAGAAAATTTCGCAACAATCAACAGAATAACTAATAGTTTTTTTTTTTTTTGCAAATTTATTTTCAAATGTATGAAATTATTGTATGTTTAATATGTTATGAATTGTAACTTTTTCAGTTTTATAAAATAAAATAATTAAAAAAATAGTTTAATTTTTTCCAGAGAACCCCACAAAGAGAGCCTACCATTGGACTTTGCAAAATTAAAAAGTTTTAACAAAAAATTTTTAAAGACCTTAAAATGTAAATACTAAAACCCCACAAAGATAGCCCATGGTGGGCTCTCACTAGCCCTGGGTCTTCGGCGAAAACGGGTTATTCGGGTCGGGTTGTTCGGTTATGGGAAAATTCGGTTTTTGAGAAAAGCTCCCGAATTGAACCGAAATTAATTTCGGTTCGGTTCGGTCGGTACTCGGGTTTTTCGGGTCGGTTATCAAGATTTATTTCACATCCGAAATTAAACCGGAAATTTTGAGATTCGGTTTTTTTAACCCGAATTAAACCTGTATCAAGCACAAATATCAGACAATACATCAAAAAATAACCATTACAGACCATTACAGAAGCTGCTAAGCTAGCAAGCTAGCATTGTATCAAATCACCATATTACAGAACCATACAAACACTAGAGTAATTAGTAACTCATAGCAAAGTTGTTTGTTATACAAAAGCATGCTTATCGCATCAAAAAGTAGATAAAAAGAAGCTTCAAAGTCAGTACTATCCCGTCCATTGTTAAGGCTGCATATCCACGTCAAAAAGAACAAAAGTGCAGCTTCCTACCTACACATGAAAATAATAACAAAAATTGATCAGAAACTTAAGTATTTAAGTATCTAAGCTAACAATCTAAACTCTAAAGCAAACTTCAGCAATTAACAGTCTAAAGAGAAGCAGTTAACAATCTATAGAAAACAAGAACTGAAGACAAAGTAGTTCACTTTACTTTAACTACTAAATTAGGACAGAGTAGTTCACTTTACCTTAACTACCTGTCATACTTTGAAGATTCATGGAGGAGCTGGAGTTGAATTCTGAGAATCTGTAAAAAGAAAAACAAAGTCAAAGTAGGAAAGAGATTAAAAATACACAATCACAGAATAAAAGAGTTAAGTGTACTTACCAAGAGATTCAAAAAACTCAACTTCTTCCAACATTTGCACTAAGTTTGCTACTTGTGCTTCAGATTTAAATGAACACCTTAGCCACTGTTGGGTGCATAGCAAAACCTCAATCATGTAAGGAGTTAAAGAACTCCTATAAGGGTCCAACACTCGACCACTTGTACTAAAGCAGAAGCAGCAGAAAATGTTGCCAAACTACTGCTCTATTAGCATACTTCTTACGTGGTCTCTGTGGATTAACAGAAGCAGAAGCAGCAGGTGCAGGTGTTTTACGCCTCTTCTCTGCTTGAACATCTTCAGCATTTTCAGGTTGAAGCATCGGCTCCTCAATGTTCTCATTGTGCTCTGTAGACATCTACAAAACTTAAACAATTTCGTATTAGCACAAGGAATGAGCACAAACACACAAAATATACCATAAACAAAGTTAATAACCTAGAAGAACCAAGGAGAATTTTCAGATTTAGAACTTTGAAACTAAACACTAACACTAAAATGCTCCAAATCAAAACACAGCCACACGTAATAGACCATAAACAAAGCTAAGAACCTAGAAGAACAAAGAGAATTTCGGATTTTGAACTTTGTAAGTAAACCCTAACATTAAGATGCTCCAAATCGAAACAGAGACACAAGAAATAGACCACAAACAAAGAAAATAGACATGGTAATCTCTTATTTTTGAAATCTGAAATTTTAGGGTTAGGCTTTTTCATTTCCAAATCAGAGATTATCGAGACAAAGGAAGAGGTTAGAGACCAAAGACTAAAACGAAAAGCCATTAAAGAGAAAGAAGAAGTGTTTACCCCTAACAAAGTCGAGGTTGCGGGTTGAATCTCTGAGCAAAGGGTTAGTCTTAACACCGGTTGAGATTACAGAGAATGAAAGAAGCTTGGAAGATGATGAATGAGAAGAGACGAATTAAAGATTATTGATTAGGTTGAAGAAACAGAGAAAGATTTCTCTTTCGCTATCGCAAGAGAGAGGCGCAGTCGCAAAGAGCAAATACGAAGAAGAAACCCTAGTAATTAGGTTAATGTCTTATGGTTATCTTTATATAGGACTGCAGATTCTCGGTCTAGGTTAAACCGATCGGCTCCGATTACCGAACCGAACAAAACCGAATTCCGAATTCTCAAACTAATTTCACCGATCGGTTTGCTCTCATGAAATCGGATGCTGCCGAAAACCGAAATTCTCGGGTTCCTCGGTTCGGTTATTTCGGGTTAAACCGTTAACCCAGGCCTAGCTCTCACCATTGGAGATGCTCTTTAAGGGCCTTTTAGTGAATCACATATTCTTCTTTGCGTGTTTCTTTTTCTTTTTCCACAGGCGGTTGCAAACACACATCTATTGATGCAACATGACCGACCTCCACTCATAGCAGCAGTCTATGGATCACCATTCAGCTATGACCATCGCTGTGCCCTTCTCGGATGCTCTATCTCCCGTGAGCTTGGAAGTAAATACTGATGTGAAGGACATACTTGATGCTTCTCTATCCCAGAAATTGTCTGCTGATTCTGTCACGCTCCATTACCTCAATGGATTTCGAGATCCCTCAGAAAGAAACCTTTCTTGTGCTGCCTCTGTTCTATTGAAGAATCAGAAGATTCAGGTTGGCATGCCCACCTTGGAGGACCAAAATATTTTCAATACATATCCTTGGGATCAGACAAACATGTTCAAACTAACTCGTCCTCTACCTAAACGTTGCGACTGGCTGTTTTTTCATAAATCACCTTTAGTATGGCGACGAATAAGCAAGAATGTATTTTGGAAAGGAAATGCTAAGAGGTCATTCTCAATGGTCGGTGGCGAAGTAATAACCACACAAAGCATCAACCTACGGTTTGAAGGTGTTGACTCGGAGACCCTAAAGGTTAAAAACGCAGCAGGAGGAGCTTGGGCGTTCCATCATTATTAGTATCAAGAGGTGTCTTTATATTGCTTGGAATTTGTGGGTGAGAGTAAAGAAAAACTTAAAGTCACTGACAAGAAGAAAGAAGATGGAGATGGAAATGAAAAACCCAACCAAGATAATGCTGGAAATACAAAACAAAAACAGGGCAAGCCAAAAAAGAGAAAATCCATTGATGATGAATCTTCTCCTGCTTCTGCAATTCCAGAGATGCCTTCCTTGGCCTTGGGTTTAGTTCTGAAACACCAAAAGGGAATCAGCAACGAAAACAAGGCTCTTGGTAATATCGGCAGTAAATATGTGTCTTAAATGCATTTAATAAAATACAGTAACACTTAAGTACTTGCACTCTGTTGTTTTGCAGTGTCTGGATCAACTTTTGACTCTCACCATGAATTTGATGCTGAATATGGTGAGTCCCCTACTCTTGATTTTAGTCTATTACAATGCAGCAACAGTTCTGCAAAAATTCTCACAGGACTGTATGATCCTTCCTGAGTTTGTGTAAACATATACGGTGATACTTAAGCTACACAGAGTAAAGATTCTTTAATAGCAAACATAAATCTGGTTTAGGTATAAGCAATGATCTATTTTAACCTGCGGGCTTTCATCTAGATGACTCAAAGCTAACATCGAGTGTTTCTTTGAGTAAACTAATTGAGGGAAGGGAATCATATTTCAAAGGCACACGATGCAAGAAACATGATGTGAATACAGATACAAAGCCAGAGGTTTGTGAGTCCTTTTGAGGAGCTTTTCTCATTTTCCTATTGACATTCCAGTATACAAAGCCAGAGGTTTGTGAGTCATTTTCATACAGATACAAGTGGAATCATTTTTAGTTTTTTACACAAGGCATGTTGTTTTTTTTGGGCCGAATAGCTTAGCTACTGGGCTTAATAGGTCGAGTTATAGACACTTGCAGTTAGTTCAATTTATTGGCCTTTCTAATTGGGCCCAGACCACGAACCTGCTTATTGTGACAGTGACACTGTTGACCAAAGTGATCACTTGACGAGGGAAAAATAAATAATATGTAACCCAATAATTCCAACTTTTAATAATACTATAAAATAGCGTCCAATACACTATTCGCCAGTACATATTCAACACGTGCCTGAATGAGTTGTTCATATCTTCGACCAAAGAGTGTATCTATGTCAATCCATATATCAACATATCTCCATTAAAATAAAAACAAATCGACATTTGTCTGACCAACCATATTGAATTACCAAATTTTACCTTATTAATTTTTTTTTCTCTCACATGCAATATCCCAGCTAATAGAAATGAGAAATAAACTATTATGTATAGTTTCTTATCTTTATCTTCTTGAATTCTTTTTTTTATATGAAAGGTAAAATCCCATCAAATACGTACCGATTAACACATGCTTGTATAAACATACGATTTAAATCAAAGCAACATTCTCACAATGGCTCTAGTCACATTAGAGATTTTTTGCATTGATTTGGTCAAACTAGTCAACGGAGATTTCCCTTTAAACCCTCCTTCACAAACAGAAGCTTCGACACCAGCGTCGATCACACCATCTTCGCCGAATTTCGGAACTCCTTTAGAAATAGCTTCAATGGCTTCGGGAACATCAGCGTTTAAGATCGTTTTGTATCTTCGACTACATTCGTCCAAAGCCCGTTTTAGTTCTGGTCTCTTCTTATATAGACCGTTGATCTCGTTCAAGGTTTTTGTTGTCAGTCCCTAAAAAATCATATATTTATAAAATAACCCCATAAGTTTTCGTTTCACACAGAAACAACCTCGCATTTCGATATATAGAGAAAATCCTCCCATTATTTCAGATAATTTATTAAGAAAAGTTACATAATTGGTGGTATAGTAAAGAAGCTCAATATCAAAAACACCCCTTGTTACATTTACATAGATGAAAAACCTGTTGGTCTCGACCAAAATAAACATTTAGCTGTTGGTCTTGACCACATCAGTTTACAAGCTTAAACACTTCTATTTCTAATTATTTCAACCAAAAGTTGCACTTGATGTAAAAACATTATTTTCTTTTTGAGTTTAGTTTAACATCAAATTCAAAAAAAAATAAGTAACAACGCTTAAGAGGTTTTTTAAACACTAAAATAGTGATAAAATTTTAAGAGATAAAATTAATACTAACTCATAGAATAAGATTAATTTAAAATTAACCATTACATCTACAAATTTATAAAACAACCACGTAAATTTGTATTATATACAGAAACAGCATCTAAGTTTTTATTTATTCAAATTATTTATGTCCCCAACACAAAAACGTCGAAAGGCTAACCTTATACTATACTGAAATTAAGGAAACCTTTATTAAAGATCTGGTTCTTATAAGAGACTTTTAATCGAAATAATTGGATATATATATTGAAAGAAACTATATGAGAAAAGATAATTAAAGGACCTTGATTTTATCAATGAGGATGAGAGCAAGGCCAGAAGTGTCGGCAGAGGAACCACGTGGATCGGAGTTAAGGAGAGACACACAAAGATTGAAGTCTGGTGTCTCTTTACATGTCTGCTCTATTATACTTCCTTCACTCACCATCACCGTCACCATCATCATCACCTTCATCATCATCATCATCATCATCATCTTCTTTGATGATTATCTTTATATGTAAAAGATGGAGGATTTGCTTTAATCTCAGGATTTGGGAGAAGATCAGTTATATATAAGTGTGTGTCTAGCTCTGCGTGTATTAATTTGCCTGTGTAGTGCACGTCTCCAATATATATAATCGAATTGATGATGGTGCCTTCACCAAAATCCCTTAGTTCCCTAGGATAAAAAGTTTCATTTCACGCAAGATATTTTCTTTAGTTATTTTTAATATATATATATATATATATATATACCAAAGAGAAAAGCTATATAGAATATTGTCCAATCAAATTTTTAGTTTGTATGTTTTTATAGTATCCAAGAACAATATTGGTAAAAACACTAAATATAATGTCTAATGCTATGACTGAAATATTTGTTACTACTATTAAATAATAAATATGCCAAGCTAATATTAGTCAAATAATCATGATATGGATAATTATGTATATATGCCTAAGACTATTTATTAATTAGCTATGAATGATGGTTTGACTTCAAATTTTCTAAGTTGCTTATTATCTTAAAATTTTAAAACGTCATTTTTCATAGCGAATAAATAATTTGAAAAAAAAAAGTGTAAAATGGGGAGTAACAAGCTAAAATTTGTTTTCTTATTTTTTTTTTTTTGGTATGAAGAGGAGAGACAAAAGCTTCCCCATTTTATTGAAAGAAAAACTTAAACATAATTACACACGGACATTACGAGGGTACGCAGACCCGTTCATGTCATCAAACAACAACGAACTAACAATGGGTGGACTACCATCCAAAAAATGAAAACCCAACGATAACGTAAACGCATAGTTCGCTAATCCATCTGCAAGACGATTAGCCTCCCTATACACATGAGACACTCGGACTATCCAGTCCCTTGAAATGAAGCCATAGCACAACCGTACTAGGAATGACAGTGGATGATTCTCGCTTATCCCTGTCGTCAAAAAACCCACCACAATCTCCGAATCCACTTCGAGTTCTACTCGTGTGATTCCTTTCTCCCACGCAATATATAACCCGTAATAGACTCTCCAAAGTTCCGCCATAGGAGCCGAACATATCCCTATATTCAACGCAAATCCACATATCCAGTTACCTCCTTCATCCCGTAATAGACCCCCAGCAGTTGCTAATCCTGGATTCCCACGCGAAGCACCATCCGTGTTGATTTTTGTCCAACCGACAGACGGTGGTTTCCACGCAATTAGCCTTACTTCTCTCACAGCCGTACGAGATTCCCCTATGACTCCCTTGTGTGCGATGAATACCTCCTGGGCAAGGTCTTTTATGAATCGAACCCTGTCCCGAAACCTACTCATCCCTCCAAAAATATCTCCACACCTCCACTTCCACGCCCACCATACCGCAACTGCAAATAAGGTAGACCAAGAACACCCGTCACCCGCAGCCTCCTCGCACAAGTTTGTAAAGAACCATTCTAACAGAGATTTCGCAAAGAATGATTGAAGTCTCCGAGCTAGTACGATACGTCTCCAAACTCCCGCCATGGCCGGGCAATCCCTAAGGACGTGAATTATTGTCTCCTCTCCACTCCGACAAACTGAGCACAGTCCCGTGTCACTTAAGTGTCTCCTTGCCCTCTCCATATTCGTCATTATGACCTGGTTCGCCGCTAGCCACAAGAAACAGCGAACCCGTTCTGGTGCCATGACCCGCCAAATCTGATCAAAAAACCTCTCCATGCTCTGTTTCGGTGAACTGTCCCTAGTTAAAAGGACATAAGCTAACTTCACCGTAAAGTTACCATCCGCATTCCCGGCCCAAGAGAGTCTGTCTTTCGCGCCTGTTACTTCATCTAACACCACTGCAGTGAATCTTAACTTCAGATTCTCGGAGACATATGGTAATATCTGGGAAAATTCCCACCCTGTACCTCGTCTCCATAAGTCACAGACTCTCCTCTCCTCATACCCGACAGGTAATGGTCCCGTCACCAACTCCAGCAAAGGCTTATCCAAGAGCCACTTGTCAACCCAAAATCTTATATCCCGACCATCTCCAATAACCCAGCTGAAACCCAAGGACACCACCTCCTGCAGCCCTGTCCCTATACTCTTCCAAGTAGATGACCAAGTAGTCTTTACCTTCAGCCAAGACTTGTCATGTACGTCACCAACTTTATATTTTGATCTGAGCACTCTCGCCCATAGACTCATTTTGTCCTGCAAAATACGCCATCCGACCTTAGCTAGAAGAGCTTTATTCATTGCCAGAGAAGAGCGTATCCCCAGACCACCCTCTCTCTTTGGTAAACACACTCTCTTCCACGCCACTAAGTGCTGCTTTCTTTTTTGCGGATTACTGCCCCAGAGGAATGACCTTGACACTCTATCAATCTTGTCAATGGTAGATTTAGGCAGTAGAATCGTACTCATAGAGTGTACCGGTAGCGATGCAATCACTGATTTCGTAAGAGTAAGCCGACCTGCGAAGCTCAAAAACCTCCCCTTCCAGCCAGCTAACCGTGAAGACATTCTCTCCAAAATCTCACCATAAGTATCCTTATTGATGCGTTTATGAAGTATCGGCATACCAAGGTACTTCCCTAACTCCCTCGTCGATTGAATCCCACTTGCATCACTAATTAATTTCGCTAGGTCCCGGTGAACATTGTCGGAGAAGAAAATCTTCGATTTCTCCAAACTCACCTTTTGTCCCGAAGCAACACAGAATCTCTCCAACACCTTCCTGATTACTTGGACTTGTGCAACCGATGCCTCCGCGAAGAGGATTAGATCGTCCGCAAAGCAAATATGTGACAGCTTCGGGCCTCCTCTCGAGAGACTTATTGGCTTCCACTTCTTGCAGTCCACCGACATCTCTATCAAGTGACATAATCTCTCAAGACACATCACAAACAAATATGGAGATAATGGGTCTCCTTGTCTAAGTCCTCTTGATGGTGTAAACGCCTCTGTTTTCTCCCCATTCCACAGTAGGCTCATCGATGGTCCCGACACACACTGCATAGTCCACCTTATCCAAGAATCTGGAAGTCCAGCCACCCTTAGTGTATCTTCAAGAAAGTCCCATTTGACCCGATCATAAGCTTTCTCAAGATCCAACTTCAAAAGCATCCAACCCTTTCTACCTTTTTTACGTCGCATTGAATGAACAGCTTCTTGTACTATGACAATATTATCCGTGCTTAATCTCCCGGGGATAAAACTGGCTTGGGCTGGTCCAATAAGCTTTGGCATGACTTCTTTCAATCTCAACACCATAGTTTTCGTAATTGTTTTAAATAAAACATTACACAAACTAATGGGTCGAAATTGCGTAATTTTTTCCGGTTTAATCACTTTCGCAATCAAAACCAACATCGCATCATTCGTCTCGGGTGGCAGTATACCAGTTTGGAAAAAATCCAGAACAAACCGGACAACCGATGGACCCACAACCTCCCAACAATTCTGATAAAACACCGGTTGGTAGTCATCCGGTCCCGGCGCTTTATATTGACCCATGCTTCTAATCGACTTCTCTACTTCAAAAGCTGAGAATGGTTTGCTGAGCTTAGTCAACTCATCTCTTGTCAACTTGGTAAAACCTAGCTGCGGTAATTTCTCTGTTGACTGTGAGACATCGTCCAACGAATAGAGTTTGGAGTAATACTCTATCGCTAATCTCTCTAGCTCTTGAGAATCTGATATCCAACGACCACTATCATCTTTCAACATCTCAATTCAATTCCTCCTCCGTCGAATGATTGTCGAAGTATGAAAGAATTTAGTGTTACGGTCCCCCAAGGCTATCAACTTCTCCCTAGACTTTTGAAACCAAAGAACCTCCTCTTGTTCCAAAATCACATAAAACTCTTTTATCAAAACCTCCTCTTTATGTAGTAATTCATCCGATTGGTCCAGCTCCAACAAATCTTGAACCATTTTGATTTCATTAGCTACTTGCTCTTTCCGTTTGTGAATATCACCAAATACCTCTTTGTTCCACTGTTTGAGTTTCTCCTTCAACCCGTTTAGTGCCACTGGTGTTGACATTTCCCCATCCCATGAATTTGCCAACATCTCCTTAAATCCGTCATGCTTTAACCATGCTGCTTCAAACCGAAACGGTCTCCTCATTGGGTTACCTTTTGTCGCTGGACATAACTGAACATAGAGCGGAGTATGATCAGAGGCCATGAAAGGTAAATGAGAAACTGTTGCTTCCTGCCATTTAAGTCTTGTTTGGGCACAACACAAGACCCGATCTAGTCTTTTGGCAATAAAAGTACTCACCACACGGCCCCTCTTCCATGTGTACTTGCTGCCCCGAAAGCCTAGGTCAATGAGAGACATCTCGTTAATCGATTCCCCGAAGGCGAGTGAATCTTGTAACAGTCTACCATTGCCTCCTGTTCTCTCGTCTAGCCTCAATATCGTATTGAAATCTCCCCCTATCATGAATGGTTCCGAAATTCCCCGGAGAACCTCTCCCAGCTTTTCCCACAGCCCACTTCGCCTACTGACCGTCGGAGCCGCATATACCACCACCAAGTGCATTATCTCTGACCATTTACCACTCTCGCGTGAATAAACTGATCAGACTGCTCCACAACCGAAACTTCACCGATACTCGATCTCCACAATATCCAGATACCCCCACTTTGTCCTTCCGCATCCACTCTAAAAGAGTTCTCAAACCCCATGCCTTGACATATACGACTCGCCCTATCACCCGCAGCATGTGTCTCTAACAAAGCTAAAAAATCCGTTTGATGCTTCTTGAGAATGTAACGAATTGATCTTCTGAAATTAGGTTTATTCGCCCCCCGGCAATTCCATAATAAGACATTCATCATTAATGTATAAACTCGATGTAGAACCACCGGGGCAACACGTTATGCATTTGGTGCACCCACATCCACTCCGTCTTGTGAGTCACTTAACAAAACCATATCTCTGCTACTCATCTCCTCTATCGGTTCAGTTTGTGCGTCAACTGTGACCAAACTGTTTCCGTTAGCGGAAGCCTCCTCAGCCGTGCCACCATTACGAACACTCGCAAAGGCTCCTCCCAACTGCCATGGTGTGCCCTGTTCTACTCTCATTCTCTTCCCCGAAGGTGAAGTCTCTGTTTCTCTGATTATTGGGCCATAGACTAAACCTCTGGTGGGCCGAGTCTGTTTAGTATATTTCCCTTTGGGCCCAATTATCAGCCCCGGTCTTGGCC